TTTTTTTTTTTTTAAAGAGAACTATTAAATTGCGATTTATGGTTCCTTGGGAAAGTTTTAGCTTCGTAACAAGTATAATACAATGCAAGGAAAGAGATTTTTTGACCTTGAAATTCAAGGCAGGTTTTTAACATATTTTCCAGCAAATCGAAGGTGTAGAGTTCATCTATCATAGTCACGGACTTTTCTTTCGTTTTTAAAAAAATATTTGTACCGTAGATAATTCGTTCTCGTCGTTAGACTCTGCATAGTGCAATACTAACAGAGTTAGCGCACGCGTTGTTACTTGTGGCTAGACGATATAAAGCGCAATCCGCTTTCCCAGCGTGCGTTGAATTACATTAACTGCGGCGATTAAATAGATACAGAAACAAGCATATTGTTAGGTGTAATCGACCGGAAGAGGCAGATATTCCAACGCCACTCTATATCCTACAAGTTCCGCTTTTCCTCTTCTACCATCGGTAATTTACGTTTCGATGATCTGACACTCCACCAACGTCGAACGTACGCGCTTTATTATTATTATTATTTTTTTTTGTTTGTTTCTTTTTATTCCAGCCCTTTCTCGACGTACACAGCGTATGCCATGTTATAGCGAAACACCTGTGCACCTTGCCGTGTAATCCCATCGTCGATCACTAAAGCATGATCGTATATTTTTCTCACGCACTTGGGAATAAATGTCGTGTAACCTTCGAACGTGAAACTTCACGTGAAAATAAAGGATCGTCCGGAATCGACAGAAAACTGAGAAGAGGAAATACTGAAATGTTATTGAAGTTGGCAAATATTATTGTAGATATGAAAACAGGAAGGACCGATTGCAGTCTTTCTACTTTACGAAAGATACGAATGACAATCGCTATTGTAATTCCCTACCAATACTGGTATTGAGATACTTAAATTGACATACCAACAATAAGTATAGACGTGTTTATATTGAACGATATTATCACTCGTCGTGATAAATGTACAAACGATGAAAATGGCTAATTTATAATTTTCTATTAAATTTTATGTACATATTTTAGATACCCGAGTGATTTTTAATAAATATATATATACACAAGTATACGTATGTGTACCTTGCTTACTTTAATCTTTTTGCAAACGAATGTTACACTTTAATCGTCGGTAGTTCTAGCGTTAATTTCGCCTGCACTGCCAAAGTATGCCACAAAGCACACGGTGTTATATAAAATTTGCGTTATCACCCGTAGCGTTCCTTTGTAGCTGAAATTACGCTGTGATTTCCTCTCGCGCATATATTCCGTTAATTACTTTAAAGGAGGGCCAAAGGGTCGCGAGGCGGTTAATAAACAAAGTCAATTCCTCCTTTGATAGAACGTAGAAACGATCCGGCTGTGAAACTACCCGGTAATGAAAACAGCTCCGTCCTCCTCGTTCGT